TTCCCTTATTTCAACTTATTTTTGAATAATATTCCACTATATTTACTTATATGTTCATTATTATGTTACAAGTTCACCTAAACGATTAGTGGAACTTAAAACAAAAAAATAAAAATAAACAATTTAAACAAGATATTAGCAAGATAATAGCAACTTATAATATACTTATAACTTCATTAAGTGCCTGATGTGAAAATAAATAAATTTAGAAGTCTTAGCAAGATCTACAGCCGACTGCGACAACTTGGTCTTCCAGTGATGCGGTTGCACTCTGACAGGGCCAGAGAGTTCCTTGCGGCTCCTTTGCGACGCTGGGCGCAAAACAGAGATATTGTCCTCACAAAAACAGCAGGGGATGACTACAAAGCCAACGGGCGCTGTGAAGCCGAACTTGGCGTGACCAAGCGAGCAATTCGCACTGTGATCTCTGCTGGCAGGTTCAATATCAACCTATGGCCGTTGGTGGCACGGCATGTTGGAGAACGTCGCCTACGAGCTCAACTGCGTGGCTGTGGCTACCCTGTTGGGGACTTGCTGAAGTTTGGAACTCAGGCATATGCTCTTCGGAAGTGGTGGCAAGACAACCATGAAGAGTGGGCAGACACCAGACAGCCAGTCTTGGTGTTGGGACCAGATGCCTGTAGCACGTTGACATCAACAAACTACTTCGTGCAGTCCATTGACACGGGTAAGTACTTCTTCACGGCCGATGTCATCACCCCTGACTTTGAGGCGACGGAGGCGGCAGTTCTTGGGCAACATGATGAACAACAAGCTCATGAAGGAGCTGCTCCGCGACCAATCAGGGCTGACAACGCCATCTACCTGCCTGAACGAGATGAAGTTTCTCGCCCTGCTGGCATGGATATTCAACCAACACGACGTTTGAGAGGCAAAACAAAGCCTGCTATGTTGCATTGATTGATGCGGGCACCAATCGAGGGGGAGGATGACCCTTTTGAACATCTTGGCCGAATCAATGCGCCATCGTGGGAGAGAGACAGCGATGATAGCTGGTCTCTGGAGACAGTGCCATCACCAGACTCATCTCTTGACGGATCTGGAGGTGGGGAGGAGGAGGAGGCGCCTAATAGTCAGTGCGGTGGCTCATGCCTGACAGCCTCACAGGAATATGAACACTTCTTACAAAAGGTGCAACACAATTTGCACATGTTGGTGATGGATGAGATGGTCCACATTGATGGCACGGCTGATGAACAAGCTTGGTGCATGCCCGTTTTGAAAGAGATGCTGGTGCAAAAGGCGGAGGTTGAAGAAGAGCTGATCATGATCAACAGAGGAAAGAAGGAAGCTCAGGAAAATGGAAATGAATTCCTGGTGACAAGAACGATATCCAACAAAGAGGTTTGGGAAGACATCCAAAACTGGGAGCCCTCAGTGAGAGCTGAATATGAGCAGTTGGTGAACCAAAAACAGGCTGTGAAACAAATGAAGAAATCTCAGCTCCGACAACTTGCTCAAGAAAGACAGCTTCCTATTGAATTGCTCCCGGCCAAAATGGTCCACACCCGCAAAGCCAACACAGGTGCGTACAGATCTCGTGCCGTTGTATGCGGAAACTATCAAGATGTTGGCACTGAAGATCGCTATGCAGGCGGTGCTGATGGCTGCCAAGTCAGGGCTTTGATCAGAACCGCGGCATTGCGGGGATGGTGTCTTGCTGGCAGTGACATCAGGGTAGCGTTTTTGAACGCTCCAAAACGCGACACCACAAAGATCACCGCCATGGAGGTCCCAACCATTTTCAAGCACCTTGGACTGGCTGATGCGGAGGACGTATGGGTCATTGAAAAAGCCCTTTATGGGTTGGTGTCCTCGCCAAGAGACTGGGGCATACATAGAGATGAGGTGTTGCCCACGTTGCGCTGGCGTCGGGACATTGGAGGTGTGGTTTTTGAAGGGCGCTTTGTCCACTCCAAAGATGAAAACCTGTGGCGCTTGGTGGAGGTCAATCAGGAGACTGGCGCTGAAAACTGGGCAGGTTTGATGTCAGTTTACGTTGACGACATCTTGGTGGCTGGCGAACCAAAGACAGTGAAGCTGGCTATGGAGGCGATCCAGAGCAAGTGGACGCTATCGGAGGTGGAATGGGCAGCAGACAAACCTCTGCGCTACTGTGGCTTTGAGGTCAGCATGGGTGCAGCTGGAGATGGCTTCTACGTGTCCCAAAGCATGTATGAACAAGAACTTCTGACAAGATGGGGCATTCAAGAATCTCTACAATACCCTGCTTTCAAGGTCACGGAGGATGAGGAGCACTTCACGGGGGAGATTGACCCAAATGATGTGCGCACTGCCCAGATGCTCACTGGAGCACTTCTATGGCTGTCGACGAGGACAAGGCCAGACTTGGTTTTTGGAGTCTCGGCCATGAGCAGGTTGACAACAAAGAACCCCAAGAAGGCGGTGGAGATTGGGTATGTTCTGCTCAAGTATCTTCATGGAAATCCTGGTGGAATGCACTATCCACAAACGATTCCTGGAGGTGATTGGGGTCGCCGAGACCAGCTGAAGGCCAGACGGCATCAAAAGATGTTGGAAGTTTTTTCTGACATCTCATACGCTGCGGGAGCTGACCACAAGAGCATCCAAGGCTTGGTGGTGTACTATGCTGGGGTTCCCATAGCATGGCAGTGTGGAGTTCAACCATTTGTGGCGCACTCAACTGCAGAAGCTGAACTCATCGCATACTGCGAGTCCTTGGTGGTGGGAAGGGCGACAGAAGCACTTTTGGCAGCGATCTGGCAACAGTGGGATTTTGAGAAGGTCATCTATGGTGACAATGCGGCCGCCATCAATTTGGCTCACGGTGTCACTACAGCATCGTGGCGCACGCGGCACCTCAGAATCCGTGCCAGTGTGCTGAAAGAAGCTTTGGATGAAACAAACCGCAACCGTGGTGGTGGATGGAAGCTCTTGCACCTCAAGGGGACAGAGCTCGTTGCGGATGGTTGCACAAAGCCTCTTCAAGGTCAAGCCTTTTCACAGTTTGTTGATGACCTTGGTTTGAGGAGGACAAGAAGACCTGCTCACGAAGAACGACCTGCTGCTGGCGGAGGACACCATGGAGCTGCCATGCGGGCGATGATGGTGGGCAGCGTGCTGCTCTCTGCAGCGGAAGCTTATGAAGAGGAGCCGGAGGCTGATGGAGATTTCACCTGGATTTGGGTGACTGGAGCTTTCCTTGTGGCTATGGGTGCAATCTACACTGGACAGCTGCTTCATAAGGCAGTGAGATGCTGTCTGCGACGATTGCAAGTGCCAGAAGGAGACAAAGGTCTTAGACTGGAGCCAAGGAGAAACGATGTCAGTTCTTCGGAAGATGAAGAGTTGGTGGTGGCTTCGAAGAATGAAGGTGGTGCTTCAACTGGTACTACAGCATTGAAGGCGAGGTCACGCTCGGGCATGCATGGTGGTGCTTCTGCGGGCGCTTCATCATCAAATTTGAGGCCACGTTCGGGCTCGCATGGTGGTGATGGCTTGGATGAAGCTACATCATTGAAGACCGGGCGACGTTCGGGCTCGCACGGTGGTGGATCAGCTGGCGCTACGTCATTGAAAATGAGGCCACAGTCGGGCTCGCAGAGTGGGGGCAGATCTGATGCTGCATCATCGGGGTCGGTGCCACACTCGGGCTTGCATGGCGGTGGCTCTGTGAGCGCTACACCAACGACGAGGGTGCCACAGTCGGGCCTTGCAGCGGGCGATCCTGCTGCGGTCATTGCAGCGGCTGAGGTAGGTAGGGATGAAAGTCCAGGTGCCAGCCTAAAGTGGCAGGAGAACCCCTGGAATGAATTTCAAAAGGCCTATAAGGGAAAGGGCCTCAATTCTACAATTTTGTCCAGGCTGTACAAGAGCCATAAGGACCGATGACTTTAGGTGCCTTGAGCCTACAAGGTGTTTTGGTGAGAGCTTTTTCCTCCTGGGTTTTTGCCATGAAGGCAAAAAGGGGGAGCTCGTGTAGCTAAGAACCTTCGACCATACATGAACCATTTGTAGGCATCTTTTGATCGAGAAAAGGCCGTATTGTGCCTTGGGATTTCCGAGTATATATATATGCCCTACCAAAAAAAGAACAATGCTGATGGAATGATGTAGTTATGGACATACACGTATATATATATATATATGGATATATATATATATGGATATATATATACACCTCGAAATTCATACTCCAATATATTTTGGTCGTTTGTGTCGCTACTATTTTGTTTGGTCGGTTCTTCGAAAACCAGGCGTTTCACAAAAAACACATACGAACTTGATAGGAAAATAGGCGATGCGTCTGGCCTTCCATTGGTTCTACCTCAAATCCAGGTCACTCCTGTTTTTACGTGGGTGCGATTTCTAACTGCTATACTGTCTACCTGATAATTTCGATGCCTTGAAAAAAATACTACGGAACTAGCTACTTGTAAACACAAACCAAAAACCATTTTTTCTGGATTTGCGGGCGTTTGCGGGTTTTTGCGAGTGTTTTGCGAATTTTTGCGGGATGTTTGCGGGGCGTTTTGGTCGGGTTTTTGTGTTTTTGCAGATTCTATGCGAAAGTGCTTTTAACAGAAAAAGTAGGCGGGGTTGCGGAGTCAGACCTGAATATCAAACTCCAATGCGCTACCCTGGCAGCCTCAAAAATTGCTACTTCCATGCACGGGAGACGGGAGGAAAATATGATGAAACATTCAAAATTATCCAATTTCAATGGTTTTTGGGCGTTTCAATTTTTGATGACGATCCCAAAAAAACCTAGGCGGTTGAATATTAGTTCCGGAAGGTGCACTACCCTTTGTGTGTTGGGAATCTCCATCAAAAGGATTACTCCTGTGATTTTATCATAAATTTAAATTCGAGTAACTCATGTGAGTATGGGTCAGAATTTCATCTTTGGCTATATATATATATGTGTGTGTGTTGCTGGTATGTTTCATTTTGTGGGACATATGCATTACCAGTTACTCATTGGGAAAACACCCCAGGAGCTGCTAGGCATTTTGGACATCGAAACCTCCGACAGCTACGCGGGGAGGAAGTGACGGTTTCATGACGCCGAGCAAGGCCAAGCAAGGCTTCACAGTGCGCCAGGGACGAGCCAAAAAAATGGGACGTCGTGGACCAAACCCAGCGGCACTTTTGGATCATTTGTTCCAGCATTTTTTCAAGCAAATTCAGGATGAAACCAATATGGATTAGAAGATCATGGGGGTATCATTGAGAACGGGGATAACACTAAGAGTATGGAACAACTTCACCATTGACACGTCTGACACCACTGAAAACGGTGGTTTAGTGTGTGAATTAGTGCGGTTTGGGGCTGGAACTGTTGATTTTGCAGGTCCATACTGTGGGCATGGAGGGGATGGGGATACTGGTGATTGTATACGACTCCTTAGGTTCGTTTGATGAAAGTTGCGAGCCATCACTTCGCAGGAAAGGGTCCTGTTGCATCCACATCATCCAAATTTGGACATATTACAAGCTACCTTGGCCCCGGTATTTATGACTTTCGTATGCTGTCGGACTGGCTTTGCGTGGCAGGAGCAAGTGGATAGGATTTGTGTGGTGAGCAACAAATTGCCAGATGGAGTTTGCATTAACGGATCATTAGCGGATCATTCCAGATGGAGTTGGCATTCGTAGATGGAATCCAAAACTGTTTGCTCAAGGGGAAGAAGAACACAATAGAAAATTATGAACCATCAACCAACCATCAAGCTGCAAACATGCGGAGAAAGAAAAATTGCTTGGACAGACCCTTGGGCTTGCTCGGAGGTATCCTCTTGTTTGATGCAGAAAAAAAACATGTTTCTTACTTCCTTGACATTGCATCTTGCTTTCGAGCTGCGGCCCTCCGTCATTGTGTGAAGATTGCCTATGCCTACCATCATTCCCTTGAGAGGTGATGCCAGAAGTCGTAGCTTGTGAATGGCTCAAGACTTCTTGTCAGCTGGCAATGTTAATTAGGGCTCAGCGGTTTCCCAATTCATCCATTTGATTTTTGATGATTGGTTTCTAGCCCTTGAGCATCTGGCTGCATTTCGCAATTTTTTTGACCCCTACGATTGTATGATCTTACAAGTTTTCTGGGTTTCCATTTCAAAAAACCTAAACAGCCAAAAACAGCCAATAAAAGTTGGATGGTCAATCCTGACGTTGATCAAAATCTGTGGTCTCAAATTGAACCCCCCCGACAAGTAGAGCTTTTTAAAGTCTAATGTGAAAACACATATCTACCAGTAGTACCGCGCAATACACTGGCGGAAGTTTCAAAAATAGTTTCAAAACCTATATAGGAGAGGTTCATTGCTGTGAATCACGGATGGCAGAGCGAATCCACTGATGGACCGAAAGGTAGTTGGAGTTGTGTTTTCTGGAGTGGTTGCAATGGTTGCGGTGGTCACCTCACCACAACTGCTGGATGTAGTGTGGTGTAGTGCAGTTGTAGTTGTAGTTGTAGTTACATTGCAGTTGACTATCTAGCTATCTGTCTATCTGCAAGCTAGAAAACGAAACAAGTCTGCGAGACTTCCTCAATTTTTGAACTTGACAACATCAAAAACGAAACAATTCTGCCAGACTTCCTCAGTTTTCGAAGTTGACAACATCGAAAACGAAACAATTCTTAGAGATTTCCTTCAAAAACGGAAAGTTGAGTGCAGAGCTGACGGCCTCGTACCAATGCGTTTTGCGATTTTTGCACTCCACCTGTCTAAAGTACTGCGCCTGCCACGAAAAAGTGATGCCAGGTCATATGAAGTGCTGCACCCGTCACGCAAAATCATCTTTCCAAAACTGAAGATCTGATGCTCCAAAATGCAACCTTTCTCACGAAATCAGCGCCCTGAACTCCTAACATCTCTAATGAACATGTCTCTTGTTCTGCGCCTGTCACGCGAAATGCATCTTTGCAGATCCTCTTGAAATGTCCCACGCCTGCCATCATTTGTGGAAATGCTACAAAATCTTCACGTTTTGCTCACTTTTAGTAAGGTGTGGAACCACACCTGAACCTTCAAAAGTGGTCCGAGCATGTGATGATTATAACCTTTTGACTTGGAAAAGTGCTTCGCGCCAAAATGACGTGCACTTTTTCAACATCTCAACTTCCGAACGTGCTCCGAACCTGGAATGCTTTGCAGATTTTGACTTCCAAATCTCCTTCGCGCCACAACGGCATACACTTTTTTGACATCTCAACTTCCAAAAGTGCTCCGACCCTGGTGTGCTTGTACATTTTGACTTGGAAATTTGCGTCGCGCCACACGGCTTGTACTTTTTCGACATTGCCACTTCCAAAAGTGGTCTGAGACCGTCAGTTTTTTACACTTTTGACTTCGAAATGTGCTTCGCGCCACAACGGCGTGCAACTTTTCATCTCTCATCTGGCCAGATGGCTCCCGCCGCTTTAGTGAGCCTACTTTTCAACCCTCCGGAGCCACAAATCAGTGGAAAAACGGAGTGAAGCGTGACTTTTTTTACCTTTTCGCGCGCCTGCATTTTCTTTGCGCTGTCTCTTTCTCTTCTCTGATCTTCTTTCTTCTTCTCTTCTCCTCTCTGGCTCTTCCCCCCTATGCTTTTCCATCTTTCCATCTTGTCTGAAGTTTGACTTCTAAACTTCCTTCGATAAACAATGGGCTTTCATGGATTTTCCATTGCCATTGTAGATTACCGGAAGCTAACTTTTTATCCATCCCCCTTTGGTTGCCCTCTCTGGCGCCATGAGCGAGCTGACGCCCAAACCGACTGGGCCCTTGAACTATGAAGAAATTCGCTTGGCCCGAGAGTTGCCGGTTGATCCATAGGCACTTGTTTTTTTAACCTGATTTCCATCAATGTTGAGGATATGGGCCGGCATAGCATGGGTCAAAATTTAAGACACAGAAAACTGAACAAAAGACAAACAATTTTTGATAGCCAATTTGATCCCGTAAATCTCCATTTGGCCTTTCCATAATATCTTGTTTAGTTTTTATATACCCATCCATTTGGACCCTCTTTTCGTGAGCCATTATGATGACTTCGCTGGTTGAGCCCTCATCCTTGGTTATTGGCGGTACCGAGGTTGTTGCTTCGCGCCCTGAGTCATGGACAGATGGAGATTTGGACCCCGATCGTTGAAGAACTTGGGAAGAACCAGGGCCCAGCCTCGCAGACGTCGCAGGCGTCCAAGGCGGAATGGATCCCAAGAGCTCCATGTTGTGAGTTTAAGATCATGAAGTCATTTTGTTTAGCTGATTTCATTTCATGATTTGGAATACCAGTTTGATCTTTTGATTTAAGTTGCAATGCCAGGTAACCAAATATTAATTCAATGTTGATGATCATTTCACGCATGTTCACGGCTTATTGTGTGTTTGAGTGTTTGATGTGTTTGTTAATCTGACTCTCATCACCTGGCCCAGGTTGTGTGTGGGAAGCTGGAGACAGGCACTTTGCGTGGGAGCCGAAAACGAAAATTTGAGCCGCTTGGTTGTCCCCTTCAAACCTGCACAAGACCCAGGAAGATAATTCCCCACGTGCCTGGTGAGAGTCTGTAGATTTTATCAGAGTTGGACCTCATCCGCGAGCTCCAGGTCTTAGTGGGCACTGCCGGATCTCAGTGGGCACTGCCGGACTTCAACTGCGAGCTCCAGATCTCAGTGGGCACTGCCGGACCTCAACCGCGAGCTCCAGATCTCGGCACTGCCAGACCACAACCGCGAGCTCGAGATCTCAGTGGGCACTGCCGGGCGCCAGATCTCAGTGGGCAGTGCCCATGCCAGAGAGAATGTCAGAATAGATGCCAGGTAGACTGCCAGAAATAATGCCAGAATGAATGCCAGAAAGAATGCCATAATGAATGCCAGAATGAATGCCAGAAAGAATGCCAGAATGAATGCCAGAATGAATGCCAGAATGATTGCCAGAAAGAATGCCAGAAAGAATGCCAGAAAGACTAAAGAATGCCAGAATGAATGCCAGATATATAAAATGGCAGAAAAGAATGGTGTCAGAATAGATGCCAGATAGAATGCCAGAAAAGGTGCCAGAAAGAATGTTAGAATAGATGCCAGATAGAATATCAGGAAGAATGCCAAATAGAATGCCAGAGAAAATGTCAGAATAGATGCCAGAAAGGATGCCAGATAGGATGTCAGAATAGATGCCAGATAGAATGCCAGGGAAAGAATGTCAGAATAGAATGTTAGATAGAATGCCTGAATAGAATGTCAGAAAATATATGCCATATGTGTATACTAGATGAGAGGCCGAGAACTATGACAAACAATTGCCACAGTGGGGATCACTCGAAGTAAAGTAATCTTCCAGGATTTTCAACATTTTTCACTTCAGAAATTCCAATTTCAGTGCCGCAAAAGCCACGTTGTTACAGATTTAGCCCAAGGTTTGGCTCCCACAACCTGCAGATCCAAGGAAAACAGTGGCTGCTGCAGAGGCAAGTCGAAAAGACAAGGTTTTACTCTGGAGGAAGTTCGCTCGCGGGAAAGGAGGCTGAGCTTCACTTCAGCTGAGATTGGTTGTTGGATGTGTTGGGCGGGTGTACCCCAAGACTTCCCAAGTCTTCAGCCCTGAAAACGCCCGTGCAGCTGGGTACTGGCGCATCATGAAGTTATAATATGAACAATGAACCAATACCTCAATTTTGAACTGGATTGATTGTTCTTCCCCGGACAGACCATACTATTACTAGTGTATATGCAGTTCATTTATGGGATATGAACAGCTAGGGCTCCAGGTTTCAGACCTGTGGCATAGTCAAAGCAGGACAAAACATTGTTCCATAAGTTCGCATTAATCCCAGAACCAATGCCCCGTGACTTGGGATTCCCATGGTATGACCAGGGGGTCTCTCATGTAGCTTGACCTCAGGAAAGCAGGCCTGGCCCAAGGTTCACCGCGTGAACTTCGCACAGCTCAAGGGGTGGCTGAAGGCGCGCCGTCTGTTCGACTGCTTTGCCTTGCGGCGGTTGAAGCGATGCTTGGCGGCCACCAGAGATGGGATGATGTGGGTAAGTGGATGGTTCAACACTTTGAATTTTCAAGAATATCTTGTAGAATTGTGGTTGTGACTACACCCAACTCGAGAAGTTTTGCTTGTGAAAAGGAGCAGCTTCCCTTGAGGGTGGTAGCACCGTAATATTTGCTGCTTGGGAATTACTCCTGGAATTACATGTGAGCATCGGTTCTCCATTTCCTTTTCGGGAAAATCATGTATGGAAGTGGCTCGGGGTATCTCATTTACGCACCGATGGGGAATTGAACCAGCAATTATGAGATATAACGAGACCCCGATATCACAGACGGCCGTGTTGCATAGAGAGAGTCATGTTGGAACTTTCATCACGTATCTGCATCAGGTTGTATGAGAAGCTTAGAATCGCGTCCGCAGGGTGCTTGAGACAATCAAGAACGAACCAACGAACCATCGTCTTTTTACCGTAGATTTCCCCAGGCTTTCAGCAATACTCTTTGAGCAACAGGCACAGCAACTTCAAGATTTGCACGGGTGTTTTCTTGAGATAATTTGCCTCCAGACATCTCCAGACCCATAGGATCCCATCACGACGTGTGCCACGCTGCAGGAACGGATTTTGCAGATATGCGCTTGTCTCTCGCTGCTGGGGTCCGGATCCTTTGGGGAAGCTACAGAAATGTGACAGCACCAGTGAGTGCTGAGACATCTGGGTGGCTACCTGCATATCATGGCACTTGGTTCTATGGACTTTGGAGCATCCTTCATCATGGTATTTTCCTGGAATCCACCAATGAGGGCAGAGGCCGCATCGGATGGTTTGGGAGGTTGTGTGGTGCCAATGCTGGGATCCCCAACTTGTTGGCAGCTGTTATCTCAGAGTAGTCCGCTTCTCCCAACGTCAAATCCAGCCAAATGAAACTTTAAATGATATGATAATTGTGATCACTAGACACCTGACACCTCTGGGTAAACGAAAATGAGGCCATCACAAGGCCACTATAGAAATGGACGACCTTTTCAGGTCGTACTGTTTTTGTAATTCCGCCGGATTATGCCAGATTTAATTTTGTACTGTTTGCCAGATTAACCCGACCTGATGTAAATTGCAGTTACTAATATAAAATAAATATTACGCCGGCAAGAGCCCCCAAACAGTGTGGGGGTAGGAAGTCAACGTACCAGATACAAGCAGCAGTAGCTATGGAACAGTAACAGGTCAGGCTAGACATTGTCATAACTGCTGCAGCAGGAACTTGTTTTGCACAAGAAGCAACGCTACGTATGTCTACTCATCAGAACCCCATACCAGATCCTCATACCAGGACATCTAAGATAATTTCAAAAGATCGTGAAGGAAGAACCATCTACATAGAGGATCTTGCCTGGAAGATTTTCGTGCAAGAACTTCTGCTGAGCACCCCAGAAG